TTGGACAGCTGCCATTGATGGGTTGGGCATCTCGCGCATAGATGGCGCCGATGCTGCACCTGTCTGGTGTTGGCGTGGATTACGGGGGGCATTCAGAACGTGTATACAGGGGTGCATCGAAAAATAGCGGATCGATGGACCGACGGTATATCGTTAAATCGTATATAGCAAGACGTGACCTAAATAGCGTGGTGGGCTCCTCTGGTCGGTCGGTCGGTCAGAATGTCTCATAACCTCTATACGATGTACTGTTATTATTATACAGGATGATACCGTTCAAAATGAAAATAGTATAATGGATATTTTATTGAAACATATAGTATATATAACAATAAGGTTGATTGGTGTGTGTGTGTGTGTGTGTGTAAGAAATTTTCAGTTGCCTACAGTGTCGTCTGAATCAATATCGCTGTGTTCTGGTCGTGCAGGTAGATTGAATGATTGTTTTAAGTGATTCTTGTAATTATCAGGGAGTACTTTAGATGTTGATACTAATCGACTCAAATCATTCTTCGACAACTGATTTGGTTCATGACAGACAAGAATCAAATTATGTATTTCACGGTTCAGTTCTGGTTGTTTTTTAATTTTTTCCCTAAAAGCCTCGTAATGAGCCTCCTCGCTGGTTATTGTTGGTTTTACCATTTTTTACCTCTTTTTGAACAAAACAATTGCTTGCGACTGGTTTGAATGATTGATACTGTAGCACTGCTAGTGCTGATACACAGACTTTATGTAGTAGAATGATGGTGGGGGGTGGGGAGTCGAAGGAACCGAATGTTTTTTTTTTGTTTGACAACAGGCTGAATACGAAATAAACATAGCTTTCTGAAAAATGTATTTTTTAATGATATACAGATACAAGTTTAGATAACAGAGTTTTTAGTTGATGTAACAAATCCTCGCTGGGGCATGGTACTCCAAATAGAGTCCAATGAAATGGTCCGGTCGCAACAACTTTTCTTGTAAATTCATTAAATTTATAGTAAGTTGCGTGACGGAAAAAGTAAATATGGCCATCAATCCATCGAAATGCGAGAGAAATATCTTCAGGTAACCCAGGAAATATGTCTCTTATCCGTCCTCTGTTCAACACATCAGTAAAATCGTTAGAAAATTCTATATATGACATATTATTATAAAAGGTATAGGACCGTCCTGCGTTTGATTGAAAAATAGCATTGATTCGAGCCCTATCGGGTATATCAATTGAAATATTATCAAGAAATTTAATGGTAGGGAATGATGCTGAGAAATATTTGTTTGGAGACACAATGGTAATCAAGTCACCGTTTGTTGATTGGAAAATATGTTGTAAAGTGTATTGACGTAATTCTGTAGGAACATAATCGACAAGAAGTTCAGGCTGAGATGGGATAATCATTTCGTTTAAGTCTAGTTTCCATATAAAGATATCATGTGCAATATATAATCGGTAATTTGAAAACTCTGGAGCAATAGCTAAAAACATAAAATCTGGAATAATATCACACAAATTTGTGAGGATCGGCTGCTTACGAGTTGTAGATCTTATAGTTGTTGTTGTTTTTGGTATTGCTGATGCGGTGGTAGACTTTGGGATTGAATCATATTTGTTTTTTCTTCCATATAGATATTGTACTGCATTTATATCATCAACATCTAGACCACGAATCTCATGCTGATAGAAGGCAAACATAATAGCATTCGGAGAAGCACTATGTGCTATGCCGAGGGCATGTCCAATTTCATGAACCAACACCATAAGAAAACTAGTTTGATTTTTGGGTATATTAGGATTATTTCCAAAATACCAGCGTTCATTTATATCTAAATGGATTTCTCTACAGGTGCCGCTAGAGTCAGGAAAGTATGCATGTCCTAAAACGCCGCCAGCATCATCTAATGTCAATGGACATTCATCATTACCCATACAGTTTGCTCTAAAATAATGAGTCTTGCTAACCATGGTTATAGTAATATCAGGAGGATATAGAGTGGGATTGGTAACCATTGTAAATGTTAAGTTTGAAACATTTTGCCACATCTGAAAAGCCATTTCTGCATCTTTTTGGGCCGCAGGTGTGTTTCGAGGGAAATACCATTTCAGGTCATGTTTCCGAAATGGAAAACTTGCTCTAAATTCAGCATCACTGTATTGACAACGCGGACGATTCATAAATTCAATTGTTGCATTATTCAACAATCCATCCACTGGTAAATTATACTTTTCTTGCAAGTTAGTTAGCAAAGTAGAGATCTGTTGTATTATCGATGATATGTTCATATTGAGTTAGGTATACTATAGCGTCTTT